TCAACGCACACAGTGGGCGAAGACGCCATTTAAAAATGTTACAATGCTTAATGTAAATCCATCGGCCAAATCGTCGTTTGAGTTTGAATTGCGAATAGGGAACGGTTTTGTTGCGTCGACAGTACTTAACTCAACAGGTGTTATGATTGTTCCTCATACCACCTTCTGAGCTAGGCGTTGTCTTATACTAATAATCATTAAGATAGCTGGCGATTAAGATACCCGTAAATTCATCGACCAAATCATTGTTTGAGTTCGAATTTCGCATATTTACAAAAAGCTAGGAAACGGGTTTATTGCGTCGACAGTACTTGACTCAACAGGTGTTACCTGAGGTTTATAATCATATTATGATTGTTCCTTATATCACCTTCTGAGCTAGGCAATGTCTTTTACTAATAACCATTAAGATAGCTGGCGATAAAGTAATCTTCTCCGTCAATCTACTCTGAACACCTTTGCTTTTCATTTTAGAGGGCGCTACAGAGCAGTAGCAGAGGCACTGCAGGGCAATACAAGTGCATTACACAGCAATACATGTAAAAGAGGGCGCAAGAGGACAAATATATGTTTCTATGGTCCAAACGTCGAGGCTTGCTATCCCGTTCAATATATTATGTATGAGTACAGACAATGGTAGATGCACATCTGCTGCGAGCGGGCCGTGTGTTGTGAAAGTGTTCACTAAAAATAGCAAACAGTCATTTGCATATCGATGTGAATATGGGCGATGGAAGCAGACTGAGACGAAGAAATCGACGGCCGTTGAAAGAACACAACGCTACGAGTGACAGTGGTTCAGCCGACAATACGATGTTAATTTCCATTAAACGAAACGTGTCGATAATAGTGTTGTGGTTAGTGGCGGGAATTGCATTCGGGTCGTCATCAATATTGCTATCGTTAGTACATGGCAATAACGGAGAGCCATATGACTGTCTTGTGTTTGTCGGGCACCTTGCCCTTGTTATGGTCGTAATACCTCCTTTCCTAACAACATCAAATATGGACGAACGCGGTTTTATGGTCGGAGTCGGCGTCAAACGAGAGTTGTTTATTGCGGCAGTATACCTGTCAATGCCACATCTGTCCCCAACGGAAATAACAGTGTTATACTATGGCTGGTCGGTGGTTTTCACTCTCCTCGTTCGCTGGCTGATCCTACGAGAATTCTCCACGTTTCCAATATATCGATGTATTGCACTACTAGCAGCAATTGTCGGCGTATATAACGTTACGGCATTCCAGAAAGTCAATTCTGCGGTTTGTCATATTCTTTCGTCATGGAATTCTTCCGGCGTAACAAATTCCAGCTATAACACAAGTAAAGAATTCATGCAATTGGACGACGCCGACAGTGGCATTTCCTATTCATATCTTACATGCTTTACATTGGCACTCTCTTCTAGTGTGTATCGCACAATGGGTCAGAAATACAACGTGTTTTTTATTTATTTTCATGAAATGTTAATCGTAATATACCTGGCTATTATAATGACATTCGTGTTAGACGCACCCCGGTCAGTATGGGCCACAGAACCAATTGTCTCAAGTCTGTGTTTATTTATTGCTATTTTATTATCAGAAATAATTGGTCTTTGGTCTTATTTTCGCTGCTGTTATCTAAAAAAATCCGTGAAGTATTCGTTTATTATACATACTGAACTGATAGCAGTGTATTACCTCTCAGTGTATTGGACGGACTTCAAAACAACGCCAGCTCACTTCACCGGAGTTTTAGCTACGTTTGTCGCTTGTCTTGTACGGACGAGTGAATCTGTTGCCTCTGACAAGTCACGTGACACATCTACGTACCAAGAGGATGTGATTCCTAATCACATTGGGAATCTTGAGGAGTCCACCTTTCAAGATTAATTGCAATAGACGTTTTGTCACGTGATGTCAATATGGCTATTTTGACTGTTCACATTCCACGTCGTTTTGTTATACTTGTGACTATTTCATTTTCTGTTCAAAACATTTTTTGAATATTTTTCTAAATGTCTGTGCATATATTTGGAATTTAATTAAAAGTTACTGTGTTATTCTCTTACTGTGGTGTTTCGTAATTGTACTTCGAGTAAACCATCTTATACAGAACTCGACAATAGTTCAATAGTTCAGTATTTCGCTTAATATCGGTTAGATAAGTTGTACATTTTGTCTCGTATACATTGCATTTTGTGGTGTCTCGTTAAAAAAAAAACTGTTTTGGCCATGAATGAAATATTATGCGACCCTGTGCGCATGTGCTTTAAATTAATAGTACGTACCAGTAATACATATTATGTTGTGGTTTGTATATATACATGCAATCCGAGAAGGGAACAGTTTCCACAAAGTCTCGACAAGCTCATATCTCATCGTTTTCAAATAAACAATATTACAACAAAACCGATTCATAACAGTCTCCACGACAACACAGACTTGTAAGTCACCATGACAAAATAAATCCATAAGTCATCATCACAACACAGATATTTAACCGTTACCATGGCAGCACACATTCCTTTCAACCACCCTGATACCACAACCATAAATTGGCTTTGTCTGGGTCTCACAAGGTCAACTTATGAAACCTGTTAGATCAGAGTTACGCTTATAGCTAGCCGGAACGTACGTCGTCAGATTTTCATAACACACACACACACACACACACTGGCACACACACATATACAAATAGGGAATTCTTTGCATTTGCTCATTACAATCAATCGGTATTTACTAAGATTGAAAGCATAATTCCGCAGTAGCTCAGACGTGGAAGACGTGGCCAATATTTTCTCAACAACCCCCACACGTTACACCTTGACCAAATCTGTGAGTTGTCTGACAGGGTTACTTCACATTTAAAAGTCTCATATAATAATAAAACTCGCAAATGAAAAATCATTTTAACTTTTATTTACGTGACTGATTGACCATCAACAATCAACCAACTTACGAACTGTCCAACAACTAACCTATTGAGGGCGTTATTTTAAAAGATGACAATCTACTCTGCCGAGCATTAAAATGTAAAACGTTGACAATTGAAAAACGGGATTCGATGGAATCGTAGAAATAACTGCGCAAATTATGTTTTCCTCATCCAGTTTCGAGCTATGGTTTAATTTCCAGGATAAAATGAGTTTTTAGATTTCGTCAAATGTGTATCCGGGAACGATTACCCTATATATTTTTTTTTTTGTCCCGTGGTGTTAGGTATTTATACACTGGTTGCATTAATTTAATTTCAAGTACCAGGCATCAACATAATTTCCCAATCAAAAAAATCATTCTAAAATCTTCACCATCTTTTTACACTGACCATCTATTCAGAAGCCATAACCACAGCTGCTTTACGTCTCGGTTACGTCTTCACTGCACTGGAACACATCTGTGCAAAGAAATCACCAGCTGCAACGTAGTCGCGATTGGCTACGCGCACTGATAATCTCTGCCGGCCCGTTGTGTAATATCAGAGGTAATATATATTATATAATTATATATGCATCAGTCTAGCACTGACGGATTTGTCACTGTTTTTAATCGAGCGTTATTTCAACTCTCATATATTATTAAATAGTAATTATTCAATTACTCAATTTCATCAATGGACTTTTATACATCATGATGGTATTCTACGGATGTATTTGAATTGATTGTCTGGTTAGATTGCCTCGAATCAATGTGAACTGCTGGATTATTTAGATATTGAACCACAGTCCCTCTATGTGATTGAACCAACCATTTGAAGCTTGTTGACTGTGAGGATAAAATAAGTTCGTAAACACTCGTACGAAACTTTACACCCCTTTTTGAAAAATAGTTCAATCCTTACCGGAAGTGGGAACTTCCAACATGGCGGCGTTCACGTTCCGGTGATACGTGAGTGTGTGGCGTCTGTGACAGTAATCGCATTTCAACACGGAACTTCTTGCCAAATCTTTGCCGTATTGTTACCTGGAAAAATGGGAGGAAAGAAAAAGGCTCAGCGTACGAAGGGAAACACAAGGGTAGGTTTTTAGTTTAGGTTTGATCGTAATTTGACTGTTGTTGTGCAATCACCAATCGGACACAGCTTTTTTAAAAGTTTAAATTCACACATCCTTGTGATGTTTTATATGACGTAATACAATAAAACGGGGCTTGATCTATAAAGTGGTAATATTTTTTTGATTTCATCTCTATGAGAATTGAAAGCAACAAAGATTAAATTTCTAATGATTCATTGCAAAGTTCTTTCATTGTGTCTTTTGTGAATGTGATTGTTTTGAACATGGAACTACATGGAACTAAAAAGTCTCTTCTTCGAGCGAGCTGTGTTGTCGACCAAAGGTTATAGAATATTGGTGAAGTATATTAATAAAAGTGAAATAATCTAAACACCACAATATTTTATCTGGGATACGCCTGTTAAAACAACTGTGAACGTGCTGGTAATGTGTACCATATGACCAGATACTGGTCTGTAATAGAAGTACCTGGGGTACCATATTTACCCTTCTAACACTTAAGGTGTAACTGATGACACAATTAGTTTGGTATATTAAAATAACTCAAATACAAAATGTACACTTTTCATTATAAACTATATCAATGATTCATAAGATTTGGATAAGCAAGAGTGTGATATTTGATGATCTTGTGTGAATTGCAAAAGTTACATGAACTGCAGTTCGAGTTTTCTTTTTGTGAGATCCTCATTGCAAATCACCGTAAATTGTTATGAAACAAGTTGCATCACTTATCTTACACATCCTTGATGATATATACATGTATATGCACTTCTGATGTGTTGAGTTTCATATGTGACCAATGTTTGCTATACAATTGTACTCTCTCAAGATCAAAACAACGATGTTTAATGTCTGAACAGGATAGATGTGTATTATTTTTAATTATTTAGCCCTCCAGTAGCGGTCGTTCTGCTGACTTACTGACTAAGGATGGACGTGTTAGTACTGGTTTTGTTGGATTTGGAGCGCTATCTGGTGATTTAGGCTATGTACCTCTACAGGGTGTGGAGGATATTGATACATCAGTTGACAGTGATTTTAGAATGGTAATGAGAAAAATAACAAAAAAGGATGTCACTACAAAACTAAAGGTGAGTATAAAGATATAGAATGTTACATTTGGTATTAGAGATATTACACAATGCACAGCGCAACAATTTCTAATACTCAAATCATTAGTATATATTGGCAAAACTGCACCTCATGAATATATGTCGTGAATTATGGAATATCTTGTTGAATACCCACCTTCGGCAAGGGGTTATTGCTTAAATAATCACTGGGTTTAAATTTGGTGCATTAACTGAAAATAAAACCCAGTGAATAAGTGAGGTCTTTACAGTAGATGTATTTATTTTTCAACAGGCTATACAAGAATTCACTAGTTTATGTAAAGACAAAGATGAAGATTCAGTAAAAGGAACTTTGCCATACTGGCGGAGATTGTATAGTAGAACATGCATGGTGAGTGCCAGAATTAGACACTAAGGGTAGTCCTATTTCTGAAATTGCCATTCAAACAACTGAATAGTAACTCACTTGCCTTAACAATCTATAGTAAATATAAAGGCAACATACTTTTTGGACAAGTTTCATATGTTAAATTTTAAATTTGAAGTGTCAGTCGTGATTATATAATAGAACATGGTAAAGTGCATTAGGTCACAGTTTCTGCCCTGCTTTAGTGAAAAACTCTTTAAGGGTGGGAGAATTTATTGTTGTTATCATGAACAAAAACAATATACATGTACAAGTGATCTTTTCTCTATTATCTCTATATCATGACAACACTGCAGGTGATATTGAAATCAGTGCATGTCATGGCCATGCTGGATGAATGTGTACTTTTTTCTAAGCTTCTTCTAAGGAAGTGACAGTGCAGATTTGTGTCACTACAAATTATTAATAAAATGGCATCATATTTTGCGTAGGATTATGACAGGAGAGTGAGAGAAGCTTTGCAACAAGCACACGAACAACTGGCGTTAAAAGTACGGCGTAGTTTAGCACCGCACTTGAAATCAATTATGGGGCCATGGTTACTGTCCCAGTGTGACACGTATGCACCAGCAGCCAGTGCAGCCAAGTCAGCATTCAACAGTGCATTCCCTCTTTCCAAACAATCTGAAGCTATTTTATTCTGTAAAGAAGACATACTAATGGTGAGTACTGTTAAATAGACTTGCTTTAGCGCCCTCACAGTGCGTACTCCATTGCTGAACAATCAGGAACTCCTATATTCTGCAAGACATACTAAAACGTAAAAGCACTTTCAGATTTCTGTGACCTACGAAACTAGGCGTCAGGTAGCCCTTTAATAGACAACATTAGTACACTACTGTATTCATCTATATTTAAGCTTTCAGATAATAAATAGGTTGTTATAGTAGCGTGCTTAGTAGTTTTTAGAGAGTATCAGATCAGTTTTCAATTTGTTTTTCTTCTGTGGCTACCTTAAGTCTCCAATAAATTTATAATGGTACCTGTTTATTTTTCAGTATATCCAAGATAATCTCTTTAAACAAACAGCTGCTACTTTAAGTGATCCTAAGTAAGTGTATGTTTATAAATATAGTCTGAAAATTTAGTTTTTTTGTTAATCTTTATAGACTCGTTATTGATGTGTGTATATGCTTGTATGGGCTGCAGTACAGAATTTTCATTGTGATTGTCTACATAATAGTCATCTATGGACTATGGTCTTCATAGGCAAATTATTACCAAAGTCTTCAAATATTCTCACATGAAAAACTTTTATTACTGCTACTATTGAATCCATACACATTTGACGTTTCATCGCCTTTTGATCTGTGGCTTCAGTCCACTCTACCACCAAGAAGAGTAGTACAAACTTAGATAATGTGTAATAATTTTTTTTAAATAGTATGATATTTGTTGACTCAAATTATAGAAAAGATGAATAATTTGCTGGTGAAACAAAATATGATCGGGCTACAACAGCTAGCCAATAGTTTTATGTTCTGGCATTACTTAGAAATTTGCTTGTAAAATGATGTTCTTATTTCGTCTGCCCAGATTGGATGATCCATGTAAATGTTTGATAGCTAATCAGAATGCCAGTTACCAGGGAAACCAGCGGAATATCACAAGAGATTAACCCCCATACTCATTGCATGTAAACTGACTAATGGCATTATAATTCAAAACTTGTCTACTCCCTGACATATATACTGTAATTATTTCCAGGTCTACACCTGCAGAGGAGATGGAAACAAAGTATAATCGTGTTATTACATCCTCATTTCTTGCTTTGAACTACTTCCTGTTGTCAATACCTAAGAAGGAACATGAGAATCTTGTAGAAATATATCGCACATTGTTTGAAGAACCCAAATTCTGGAAATATTCAAAGAGTAAAACACCAATGGTGAGTAGAAATACTAACACAGAATAATGAATTTGAGTTTTATCATTTTATCAATTTATTAAGACTACCGGGTACACCTACAAAATAGTGTCAATTGTTTTCAAGTATTGGAAATTTGTTTAAACTTAATAAGTTGCATTCTTCTTCTTCAGTCTTCTGTCACAATAAAAGACTTGTACATTATTTCCATACTTATAAGCTGTAGAAAATGTTTTATATTTGGTCCAAAAATTAACAAAGAAATTATTACAAATACATAAATTATTCATAGAAATCATAGTGTTTGAAGGGATGATCAAGGTTTGTATGATTCTGGAATTTGAAAGGTGTCTTTGAAAGTTCTTGAAAATGAACAATCAGCATGAAAATCCATTATTGTTAGTCATTAATCATTATTATATTTTTTATCAAGCTTTTTCTGTTTTGACCAACGAAAGTCTACTACATCCTTAATGAAGGATGGCTGCACACCAAAAAGAAACTGTAATCTGTGTTTTCTCCACCATACCGATGAGAGACTATTCAAATTAAAAGATTAATTAGGTAATAATCCACCGTAAGCTTACCAAAGTTCTGATGAAATAGTCCTGGAAAATCCTAGAATTTCTGTTTTTTCAGATGTACAAACCCTGGTTTTTGAACTACAGTGTTTAAACAGTGAATTATCCTAGATAGAATTTTGGAATTTTGTGTTCAAGGATGGTTCAGTTTTAAATCATCGTCCGCCTGCACGGTGTTGTTCTGTTCGAACATTCCTCCCTCTACAACACCGTGTGGTAAAACTATTCATAACCGTGTATGTCACGTGGTTGCGCGATAGAAAATTTACCGACCAATAGAAAGCTTTTTTACAATGACTGCCAGAAAGCGCCTGGAGCTTTGCAATTCTGATGTCTTCGGCTTCATTTCTGTGTATATATGTTGCAGTGACATCATGAGCTTTGAGGTATAACACCTACTCTTCTATAATACTCAACAGTGGTGACAACACTATTACCACGCTCGATGATCGCAAGGCCGGTAAAGCATAATAACATAAGGATTTACTATTTCCAGTGCGACTAAAAAGGAACACATCAGACTCTGCACTCAGTATAGCTTAAATGGCTTTGGTCTGAATATCTGTGAGTTGCTGATGTATGATGTATGGATATCGTCGCTGTATTGCCTCGACATTCAAGCCAACACAGCTTCCACTGTGTGCAGCGAAAGATGGTTTTATAATAAATGTGAAATCTATACTTTTGTCTTTGGATTACAGATAAGAGGAGCTTTCTATTCAACAATTTCTGCATTGTGTCAAGTTGTACCGGAGATGACTAACAAATATTCAGTGAAATTAACACCATCAGTTCTTGGTAACTTGGATGATACTGATCCAGTTGTATGTCAGCCATTGTGGGAAGCAGTACTATATGTTGTGTCAATCATTACGGTAAGTAAATTAATCTCTTCTCATACTGTAAAACATGTCTTTTTCGCGAGCATGTCTTTTTAGCGAATTTAGTGAGACAACTGATTCGCTAATTCAAGATGTCGCTAATGACTTTATTATTTGTATAAAGTAATCTGAAACATAAAATGCTGGAGCGCTTCCTAATTACACTTGACAGTTTTACTTTGTTTTTATGAAGGTGATAACTGCGCATTTGTTTTGGCACTCGACAGACAAGTATTGTGTAAACAGGAAATCGACAATGACAAGAGAGATTCGCTAAATCAACATTTCGCTATTACGTCATTTTACCACAATTCGCTAAAATTGCATGTCGCTTTTGCAACATGTTTTACAATAATTTTATCATCTGGTGATTCTTTTTTGTTTTAGTGTTAGAAATTACATTTATTATTGTTAAGTATAGTGGTGATATTAGCAGGGCTGCTCTAATTTTCTATACAGTGTATTTATATTTTCTAATTTTCAAAGCCATCTATTTTCATTCCTGATAATAAGCGCACATCTGCCTGATATAGAGACTGTGAATACTGTCGCAATTTGTTAATTGCTTTTTAAAACTGATTAGGAAAGCAAAGATCACGAAAAGTCTTCACAGAAAGCTTCTGACATATATCAGACAAATTGTGGAATTAGCATTTTAGGCGGTAAAAACTGGCATATTTCATATGTAAATTTGGCCAGTTTCTGATTGTGATTGCTATAGGCAGGGTTGCTCTATATAGATAGCATTTACAGCAAGTCTCAGAAGTATTGGGGCAGCCAATTTGCAAACTCGTCGCTTTGGTTTTGATTGAACGGTTGGCTTTCGAATCCCGCTGGTGCCGTCCTGTGGTCACCCCCACTCTGGTTGAATCTATGTAACAGTAGGGAACAGTCGTCATACTTTATTTGGATGGTGATTTCGCTTTCAAATATACCAG